CCAGAGACAAGGAAAGCTAGTTTTTAATTGTAGCTCCCAGCCAGCAATATATTCAGAGAATGACAATCCAAAAAGTAACTTTTCCTCCACATGGAGGAACAACTGACTTTAGCAAATAACTGAAATGATTACACCCAGAAAACAAAAGGCCATGCGCTAATAATAAGTTAGTTTGCAACATTTCCCCTCAAGACAATGGCACCACACAAGCGGATAGTGCCATGTTTACAAATTTAAAATATTTATATATTTATAAACATATTATAAACAAATATAATATGTTTGCAAATTTATAATATTATAATGAATTGTAATACAATATAATACTAATAATACAATATTATAATTATAAATTTTATATTACATTTAATATTGCTAATAATATTACAATATAATGGTATAGTACAATATAGCAATATATAATACTGATATTGTGCTATACTAATAATATAATATGTTGTGTGTGTGTATGTATGTATGTATGTATGTATGTATGTATGTATCTATCTATCTATCTATCTATCTATCTTGTAAGCCGCTCTGAGTCCCCTTTGGGGTGAGAAGGGCGGCATATAAATGTCATAAATAAATAAATAAAAATATAATAGAGTTGCAGTGATTTACAAGCTTCTTACCCAGATGTAAGTCCCATTTGTTTCTATAGGGCCTTGCTCGTAAGTAAATATAAGACTGAAGGGTCAGCTCATTTCCTAGTACAGCAATGAGGAAAACCCCAGTATTTTACAACTCACAGGTTTTGAGCAAGCAATCTGCAATGTAGATTTTTTTTGTCATTTTCACGGCTGATTTGGGAACATAAATCAGAAGGTGCGATTCACCCTGGGAAACTAGAAGGGCCAACACCTCAGCATACCACTCCTGTCCTAGGAGGAACTACAGCTGAAAGTGGTGACTGATTTGTGATTTTTATCAAGCACATTTTGTACATTAATAATTGCTGCTGCTTCTTTTCCAAACTGCCAGTTCCCAGCTGTTGTGTTTGGCAGGACTCATCAAGATGAAGATCACCTGGCTGGTGGCCTGCTACTAGCCAAGTGTTCAAGAATGAACAACAGGACGCAAGGGATGCCTGGGAGGCCACTTCCACTTCCAGGGGTGGGGCTCACAGGTGGGCTCTGAATACGAAAACAATGTCCCACTGGGAGACTGAACACACTGAGTCACAGGCCAGACCCCACTCCCTGGAATGACACTGGTCTTTAGCAACAGGATGTGAGCCTCACCCCCACTATTCCTAGTGGAAATAGATACATTCTTATCCCGGCTCCATCTGGTTTAAGAGGATTGCTTCACCAAAGCCAAGAATGGAAACCAGTTTTAAATGCTTGAGAACGAAAGCCACATATAGCAGAAAAATCCAACAGTCAATATTTAATAAGCCCTGTATTTTGGAGAGACAGTCAAGACATTCTCACTATGAAGAACGGCATCTCTAGGATACTGTGCAACGGAGGCACATGCAGTCTCCCTCACTATTTGAAAAGAAAGATGGGTGGACTTCAGTCTAGTGTAATCTACTTTGTTTTTCACCAGAAACAAGCAGAGCCAGATACAAAACAGGATTCAGGAACACAAGCAAGGAATTGGGGAACAAGTCATACCTCTGAGTACATGTACAGCCCAACAATTTGCTTTCAGTAAGACAAGTGGGGCTCCCATATGCCTTTTTACTCCCCCACCCCCTCACAACCTTTCCCATCTTCAACAGCCTAATGTTGGGAGCAGCCCAATGTTGTCTGTTGTTTAAACCACCAGATTGACTACAAATGGCATGGATTAAGAAAGCTTTGTTGGCAGAGCATGATGCAAATCACCTGGATATTTACCAGAAGATGCTAATATATCTTCAATGCGTCCCCAAACTGAAAGGACACAAATCACCAGGACATAACTATTCCCAAGTGGCAGCTTGAAAGCACTGGGAGTGGCATCTACCAGCAAGGGAGGAAGGAAGCCATGCTATTCCCCTCCTCAGTCACCGCACAGACACACCAAAAGGCTACAACCAGCTGGAAAACAACAGAGGATGAAAGGAAAGGATTAAGAATCCCAATGGGAAGGAGAGAAGAGAATGGGCTTGCCACTCCCTTCAGTGGAGACAGACACTACTGCAGAATACAATCCTTTCCCCCATAAAACCTTCTTACAGCTACGGAAGGGAATTATCATCACAAACTGGGGGGAAACCAATTGGATCTGCATTTTTGGAGGAACTTACTTCACTGCCTTCTCAGACCACTCCCTAAACTGCAAGCTGATACCAAGAAATCAATAAGCGAACAGAGGACAATAAACACAGAGGTGCTTGGGATTTTTAAGACCAAGACACATACAAAGCCAGAATAGGAAGGTTAGACTTTGGAAGAAGAAAACAAGGAGATAAAAGAAAGATGTAGATTTCTTTAAGGATCCATCACCTCTCCTCTCCTCTTGCTCTTTCCCCCACCCCATGTTTTCTGGGCTGACAGGAAGTGTTTACAGAAGGTAAAGTCAGTAAAACTGAAGAGGAGAGAGAGAGGGAGGCAAAAAAAGCAGATTGTTTTGCCTCCTCACTTACCTGCCACCAAGGCTCAGAGGCACAGCAAACGCTGTTGGAAAACTCTCTCCTGGGAGCCTAATTCCTTCTGCAGACAGGAAAGGCAGCCCTTAAGGAACATGCAAAAGGCTGACACGCAAAACAAGCACCCACTGCCCCCTGGTCACATCATCTGAACACATGCCTCACTCTCTCACACAACCCCTCCCCACTCTAGGATAGGTTTCTGCACAGGATCTATTCAGCATGTGCAGCCATTGTTAGGATCTCCTTAAAAGAAGGTGTCCAGAAAAGGACGACCAAAATGCCAAACCCTATGAGGAAGGCTGATGGAGCCTGGTCTGTTTAGCTTAGAGAAAAGAAGGCAGACAGGGGACAGTAAAAGGTAACCGTTTCCCCTGACATGAAGTCTACTCATGTCCAACTCTGGGGGTTGGTGCTCATCTCCATTTGTAAGCCGAAGCTTTGTCCGTAGACACCTCCAAGGTCTTGTGGTTGGCATGACTGCATGGAGCACCGTTACTTTCCAGCCGGAGCAGTACCTATTGATCTACTTGCATTTGCAGTTTTCGAACTACTAGGTTGACAGAAGCTGGGGCTAACAGCGGGATCTCACCCCGCTCACTGGATTCGAACCACAGACCTTTCAGTCAGCAAGTTCAGCAGCTCAGCAGTTTAACCCGCTGCACCACCAGGGGACTGCAGCCTAGTGTAAATACCCGAAGACTCTCTTTCTGCAGCTCTGGAGTCTGGGACATAATGGAGCAATGGGTTCAAACCGCAGGAATACAGAGAGATTCCACCTAAACACAAGGAAGAACTTCCTGACAGGAAGAGCTGTTAGAGAGTGGAATGTGCTGCCGCCTTGCAAGCTGGTGGAGTCTCCTTCTCTTGAGAGCTTTAAGCCGAGGCTGGATCGAAATCTGTCTTGATCACTTTATAATATCTTTATTCTTATATCCTACCTCCATCTCCCCGAAGGGGCAGCTTACATGGGGACCAAGCCCAATATAAACAAAGATTAGGAATAACACTATTAAACACATATAACAGTAAAATATATTTAAACAGCTATTCTTTTCATGTCAGGGGTGACTTGAGAAACTGCAAATCGCTTCTGGTGTGAGAGAATTGGCCTTGTGCAAGGATGTTGCCCAGGGGATGCCGAGATGTTTGGATGTTTTTACCATCCTTGTGGGAGGCTTCTCTCATGTCCCCGCATGGGGAGCTAGAGCTGACAAAAGGAGCTCAATCCACTCTCCGATACTGAACCGCTGAGCTGTCAGTCAACAGTCCTGCCAGCACATGGCTTTAACCCATTGCGTCACTGAGGGCTCAACTAACGCAATCAAAAACATAGAAGAGTAAAATATGTTAAAACAGTAAAACCAATGAAATGTAAAACATCATAAAACATAGACAAGACATCAAACAACCAGTAGCTGGGGGGGGGGGGGAAGGTGGGCCCGTGCAGATTTGAGACTAATAGGGCACGACAAGGGCTTGTGCAAATGCAACACTGTAGGGCTGGGAATAAAGTGCTGGAGAGCCAATCAAAAGATTAGGCTTTCATGGCTGGAATCACTGGATTGTTGTAGATTTTTCGGGCTATATGGCCATGTTCTAGAAGCATTCTCTCCTGACGTTTCGCCTGCATCTATGGCAAGCATCCTCAGAGGTTGTGAGGATGCTTGCCATAGATGTAGGCGAAACGTCAGGAGAGAATGCTTCTAGAACATGGCCATATAGCCCCAAAAACCTACAATGACCCAAAAGATTTGGGCTAGGCAGATTTAACAGTGTGATTCTGCATGGCAGAGGGTTGGACTGGATGACCCTTGGGGTCTCTGCTAAGTCTAGGATTCCTTTTGCAACCGAAGGACTGACAACAAAGGGGAGGAGCACCTCGGCGCCCGGAGACCAGCGGCGACTCCCTTCAACCCTCCCTCCCACGACGACCAGACCCACCCCGCGCCCCCACGGAGGGAGGGAGGGAGGGAGGGGGAGAGAGGGGGGAAGGAGCGCGCGCTCCCCCCGAGGGCTCCGTCTCCAAAAGCGCGCCCCTCTTTCTTTCCCTCCAAAAGAGCACCACAGCCGCACTGGGGAGGCGCTGCGGCAGCCCCGCCCGGGAAGAGAGGAGAGCAGACCGAAGGAGCCTTTGCCTTCGGAGGGGGGAAAGGGGAAAGGGGTGGGGGGCGGAGGGCCAGCAAGGCACAATCCCAGCCGAGGGAGAGAGGGAGGGAAGGAAAGGAAGGAAGGAAGGAGGAAGAGTCGGCCGCCTTTGCCTTCTCGCCCTCATGAATGACTTTACAAGCCAAAAGGCGCGCGGGGAAGGGGGAAGAGGGAAAGGGGGTTTTCTCCCACGCTACCCCCAGTCTCTTTCGCTCTCTCTCCACCCCTTCAAAGATCCCCCACAAACTGAAAGGAGAAAGGTGCCCCTCACCTTCTACTCGCCGCCGTCTTTTCCCACGAGGCTCTTTCCCCCCCACTTTTCCGGGAGGGCTCTCAAAAGGGAGCAAAGTTCGCGCGTGGGGAAGGGCAGGGCGGGGCTGGACTAGAGACCCCAGGCGCCTCTTTTGGCGAGCCTTCAGTTCTCCGTGGGTCCCTCCAGGCAGGAGCGGGCTTCCCACGGAGGCGTCGGCGGCGGAGCCCCCTCTTTGCGTCGCCCTCCCCGCATTGGCCCCGAGACCCGGGCCGCCACGGCTCCGGCGTGGGTGCGACAAGGCCGGGGCACGACGACCAGGAGGAGGAAGGAGAAGAAGAAGGAGAAGGAGAAGGGACCCACGCCCAACGCAGCCCCGGGCGCTCGTCACTCCAGCCTCTCCCGGAGCAGCTGATAGGGCTCAACCCTCGCGCCCCCGACTGCGGGTCCGGCCTCGCGGTGGACTGGGGAGGCTGTCAATCACGCCCAGAGGGGCGGGGCCAAGCGCGGGAGGGAGAAGGAGAAAGCCAGCGCCGAGGTCTCTCTCTCTGCGGGGCTGAAGGAGGGAGGGAGGAGGAGGAGAGGAGGAAGCTCGCCCGCCCGCCCGCCCGCCCGCTTTGGGTGGGGGAGTCGCCCCTGGTGTATTTTTAGAGCGTGCTGCTTCCTCCAGGGAAATCAAACCACCTCCTCTGCCTTTCAGCGCTGGGCAGGGCCTCCCTCGGCGGTATGAATTCCCCGCCGAGGCAGCACACTCCCATTTCCTTCCTTCTCTATTTAGGGTCGCGCCCGCCTCCTTCTGAAGGTCTCGGGCTGCCATCGGGCTTGGGGCCGCCATCAGGCCCTTCTTCTGGCCTTGGTTCGGCTACAGCCGTGAAACGAGGGGCCGGGGGCGGGGGGAGGAATGGGGAGGGGAGGGGGCGCCACACAAAGGAAGGAGGGGCCGGGTTCTCGCCCCACGAGACCCCCTACTCCTACCGCCCCGATGGAGGACGGAAACGCCCTTCCACACAACAGCCGAGCATCCTTTATTGGTGCCACCATGCCAGGGCTCTGCCAGTATTCAGGCAGAGGTGAATCAAACAAACACCCAGCTTGTTTCTAACAGTTTAATTAAAGCAGCACTTCGTTTCTGGCTGTTTTAATAGTCCAAAATATAAAAAATAAAAATAGCATGAAGCCACATAATATAAAACAAAACTGGGTAAAAGTATGATAGCTGGGACCAAGTGCAGATAGTGCTACTCTGATTCCGCAATGGTGGTTGTGAATGAGGAACACATGTTATCAAGAGACTGGGTGGAGTGAGATACGCAGGCGGGACAGAGTCTGCAAGTTTGTAGTTGCTTTACCATTCCCACTCAAATATTGCTTTACTTGCCTTAGGTGCAATGCTTCCCTGTTTGTTGCCCCCCCCCTTTCTGTTTTCCCTCCCTCCCCTTCTGACCCGAGTTGGGCTCACCGCATTGCGCTATCAGCATTGGCGAAGCAGCGTTGCAGAATCAGCAAAGTACTACCTGCACTCGGTCCCAGCTATCATACTTTTATCCAAAACGGATAGCAAACACTTCACCGTAGTCAAAGGGTCCAGTCCAGTGGTCAAATGCCGAGAGTTTAGTGAGCGAAGTCAAAAGTCTATACAATAGTCAAAAGCCAATCCAAAAATTCAAGGTTCCAGGGTTCCAAGAGTTCAGGAGACAGGTCAGGACACCAAAAATCCAGAAAACTTGGGAAAAACCAGCAGCATATACTACCAACATAAAACAAATACTTTTCTCCCAAAGATCAGCCCCGAGGTCAGCTCCTTAAAACCAGTAACACCCAACTGCAACCTATCCTTTGCATGCCGCCACTCTTAATTGCGTTTACCTGTAAACTGTTAGTTACAAATTACTCGGCCCTTTAGAACTAAGACTTACATTAACTCTTCCATCACCAACTGTTGGGTCTGCTACCACCAACCACCATGAACTGCAGGACATGATACATGACAATTGGGAACGCCCCAAACTGGCCACAGTTTGGGTGGTACAATGAACAAAAACTTTGTTGCAGGCACACAATTGGGATCCATAGTGCATGACACTACCTTTGGGCCTATGAGTGTGAGAGCTGTGCATAAAACCAATGAATTGCGTCTTTAGACTTACATCACATTTCTAAGATAATTCATTATATTGTCGAAGGCTTTCATGGCTGGAATCACTGGGTTGTCTGTTGGAAACTAGGAAAACAGGGTTTATATATCTGTGGAATGTCCAGGGTGGGAGAAAGAACTCTTGTCTGTTGGAGGTAGGTGTGAATGTTTCCATTGGCCACCCTGATTAGCATTTGATGGCCTAGCAGTTTCATATAAACCCCATTTTCCTAGTTTCCCACAGACCTCAAAACCTCTGAGGATGCCTGCCATAGATGCAGGCAAAATGTCAGGAGATAATGCTTCTGGAACATGTCCATACAGCCCGAAAAACTTACAACAACCCATAATTCATTATGTTGTGTTGCTGTGAGTTTTCCAGGCTGTATGGCCACATTCCAGAAGCATTCTCTCCTGATGTTTTGTCCACATCTATGGCAGACATCCTCAGAGGTTGTGAGATTTGTTGGAAACTAATATACCAATATACCTCACAACCTCTGAGGATGCCTGCCATAGATGTGGGCAAAATGTCAGGAGAGAATGTTTCTGAACATGGCCATACAGCCCAGAAAACTCACAGCAACCCAGTGATTCTGGCTATAAAAGCCTTCAACATTATGCAAATCATCATCATCATGGACAATCATAGGTGGCAAAGTAGGGTTGTCTTTCAAGGGTAGTCTTTGCAGTGGCTCCTATTCTGGATCCCTAGGAACTTTCAAAACGAGAACACACATTTCCAGATGGAAGGGGGAGCCAACAAGGGATTCACCCTCTATTTGTGCCTCTTCAGAATCTACAGCACTGCTGGTAACAGTTACAATGTTAGAGCCCCAGGGCCTTCCCTGTTCTCCATGTTTATTCCGCATTTTTAAAGTTTTCTTTAAACCCATCTTTAAATCTCTTTTGCTGTTCACCAACATTCCATTTTGAACATGTTATCTTTTTGTGTTTTTCCATTGCCATGTCTAATACTAAAAGGTTTTATGATGTGAAAAAATAGAGAAATAATAATAAAATAACTTTTCTAATCTAAAATTAGAATAAAAAGTGTGCATATGTTGTTTTGAAACAAAGGAGATAGAAAAGTTGAGAAATGGAAAATGAAAAGTCCTAACTAGCACTTTCTACCCTGTCTCTGTCCTCTTTATAATGAAAAAAATCTATTATTGTTGTCATAAAACTTCATATCTCTGGTAGATTAACTTTCCAGGATCTCTTGGATACCATTGAGGATCCTGTTATTCTTGTCACTGAATTCTCTTAATTTTTTATTTTCTTGTTCTTCCTTTGCACTATTAATTTTCCCTTGGTGCTATAGAAAACCCGATATTTTCATTTTCTTTTCTTCTTTTAAATAGTAAATAAAAGGCTGCCATTCTTCTTCAGATTTAGAAGGATCTGGCAGTTGTATATGCCTAGTCAGTCTGTCCATTTCTAATTGTATAAACTTGATCAATTTGTCAATTTCTACCTGATCCATCATTTTTGTAATCCATAAATCTTGAGAGGGAATTACTTCATGTTTCCGGTAATCACAAATAATAAAAAGCTCACCTCCTCTTGTTTGGTGAATTTAGTCCATTGATATTTAAAGAAAATATATTTAAAGTCCTTGATCTTAAAATAGTAGATGATCATCCAATTATTCATCACGTGGAGTGGCCTGCTACTGTAGTTGAACATCTTCCTTATCCAGGATCTATTAAGGTTGCCTTCTCTTCTTGCCTTCTTGGATGTTTTCTTATTGGAAAGCCCACAATCTATTGGAAATTTCAGTGCACAATAACCTTATTGAAAAGATAAAAATGATGTCACCTCCGTTTGGGAAAATTTGAATCTCTATGAACTTAGAGACCACTTGAAAACCACAAGTCAGGAATGGCGTGACCTTGTTAGAAGTCAAACTTTAAGACAACTGATATTCATAAAGCATTCACGTGATAGCACCATGGGTAGCTCAAGTGTTAAACTTAGGAACCATGTCTTTAAACGGCTATGGATAAAGACAGGCCACTACAAAAATCTATCTGGTTAGCAGAGGATGGTTGTTTGAAATAGAATTTGCAGTTGCCCAAAAGATATACACTCCCTTAAAACATGCACTCAAGAGAGAAAACAAAGTAGTCTTCTTTGAAAAAAAATATAACTTGTTTACTAACAAACTTGTATATATTCAGTATACAGGCACATAGTATTTAAAATGTCTTTAGGCATATCTGTACTCACTCAAATCCCTGAGCACACACATCCACCTCCAGTGAAGTCTGAAACCAAACATATCTCATTGAAGTCCAAAAGTAAACATCTACCTCATTGAAGTCCAAAAGCAAACTACAAAATTGAGTCCAGGTCTGAAGCCCCTCCCACAACAAAGAGGAAAGCCAAACTGGAAAATCAACATACACATAGAATGCAGGTTAACAAATATACAGTATATTCTGGCGTATAAGACTACTTTTTAACCCAAGAAAATCTTTGCAAAAGTCAGGGGTCGTCTTATACGCAGGTGTAGTCTTATGCATGGGAGTCGTCTTAACTCTATATTTTAACTGGAAAAGTTGGGGGTCGTCTTATACGCCCAGTCTTATATGCCGGAATATACGGTATATTAACAAACAGTTAGTGAAGGATTGTAAGGTTGCTGTTTCCAACATCTCTTTCTCCTTGGCCTTCTTAAGTTTATCTGTCAGAAAAAAGCAATTTATTATTTCTTTATTATCTGCGGTGGAAATTTTCTTAATACTGAAATCCTGGTATTTCTTATTTCAATTGGATCATTGGTGTTAACTTGCAAAACTTGATCTCATGTTTTCTTTCTTGAAAACAACACAATCACAGCTTATTCCTCATTGCATGTTGGGATTGGACTCCAAAGATGCTGTCAATTTGAGCCTCGAACACTTGCTCTGGTCTACCAAGGATTCCAACCACAACTTATGTTATTGCCATTTCAAGTTCCTGTATAGATTCAGGTATTCCTCTCAACTCAAAGAGTATTCTGTTTGCTCATACTCTAATATTTGGAGTTTTATTTTATCTCTTTGGAAATCAATTGCATCTTCTTTTGTGCCTTTTCAATTATTTTTACTTTCTGTTTTTACTGTTCCTGCTGCTTCAGAATACCACTCATTTCTGCAATTTGTTGCATATCTTTCTTCAGCTCTTGTTGCCCTTTATCTAAATAATTTTTAGCTTGTGTAATTCTCTTGTCAATCCTGGCCTGCAAATTTTTCATTCCATCTGTAATGATTCTTAATTGGGTCAGGATTTCCCTCATTGGATCTTTTTCTTGTGGAAGAGAGCCTTTCCTGGAAACCTTTTTCTGATCTTTGAATCTTGATCTTGTTGACATTGCAGTCATTTCTGTGATCAAACTGTCTTTTTTAAAC